AGCCCAGGAGTTGGAGGTTTCTGTGAGCTGTGATGCCACAGCACTCTACCCAGGGGGGACAGCTTGAGGCTCTGTCTCAAAAAAAAAAAGGTTAGGGCAGGAAAATAAAATAAGTAAGAAATGTCTGGTGGTGCTAAAATCCTATCAGAAGCCCAGATTCCAACTGGGTGCATGAGAAACTTAGAAGCCGCCACTCCATCCCAACAAGTGGAATACTGAACTGAAAAGCCAGCAACTCTAACAGAGGATCACAAGCCTGTTACTATTGCTCCCAAAACCCAAGAAATTAACAGGTGAGTAAAGAGAATCACTACTTCCCTGAACAGAAACCCACAAGCAGCTACCTCTGAGGGAACAAGTGCCAGGCAGGGAATCCTGAGCCACAACCAACAAAGTGCTGGAGGTTCAGAGTAGACAACTCTGACAGGTAAATATTCCAGGAAGGGCAGTCAGAGAGCAGCCCCTTACCAGATCCTCATGGTGAATCTGTGTACTTCCAGCATGGGAAGGGAGGAAAAAACGTCATTTTTTAATAATGTGCCCATGAACTCTGAAACTGCACAATCAGAGCCTAACTTGCTGGGGTTTTACCAGAGTCTAACTGACCTGGGGAAGGGAGAAATATCCTATTCTAGCCTGTCCCACCAAAGGGTAGGATTAGGAGTGGGGAGGTGACAAGAGTTTCTCTGAAGTTCACGGGACACTAAAAGACTGGTCCTTACCGCGGGACTACAAGATCTGACAATTCAGGCTCGTCCTCGGCTTGCATGCCAGGAGAGTCCAGGCCCGGGGCCCCCGGGCTTCCCGGGTCTGTAATAAATCTCATCTTATGCCCTTTAAAAAAAAAAAAAAAGATCTGACAATTCAGTTCATGAACTCGTCTACCTCACTGCTCTATATGACACAGTCCTCTCTGAAGTGCCCCATGGGCCATCTGGGGAGTGCACTGATACACAACCAGGAGGTACATAGCACTTTTTCTAGGATGAGTTTGTGGACTTAATTGTCTGACCTTGTATAAAACATTCTCCATACCCAACACAAATACATCACTATTATCACTAAAGGCTTAAATTCAACATTGACTTGCCTGGTAATCAAGAAAAAATTTCAAGAAACACTAATGCAAAAAAACACATTTTGAAGAGATGAAGCAAATGTCAAAACTGGACTTATATATGGCAGGACTAACTTATGTATGGCAGACAACTACAATTGGTAGGTTTAAGGCTTCATGCAAGAACAGTGGGTACAATCAGCAGAGAGATGGAAATTCCAAGAAAGAACCAAAAAGAGATGCTAGAGATCAGGAACACTGTATCTGAAATAAACCGCCTTGGTGAGGCTTCTTGCCAGAATGAACAGGACTGAGGAAAGAGTCTTTGAGCTGTATGATATCTTAATGAGACTTCTAAAATTAAAAAGAGAAATTACGACTGAAAAAAAAAAGAATATCTGGGAATTGTAGGCAACTACAGAGGGTAAAATATACATGTGTGGGAATACCAGAGTAAGAGAAAGGAATAAAAAGCAGTATTTCAAGAAATGATGACAGGAAATTTCCAATTAACATCAGACGCCATACCACAAATCCAGAAAGCTCAGAAAATACCAAAACAGGGTAAATGACAGCTTTAACGGAGTTCACTGGTGAATACTACCAAAAACCCAAAGAAAAATTTATACCAATTATACAGTAACCTGCAGAAGACGGAGGAAGCAGAGGGAGCATTCCTAACTCATGCTTTAAGCCAGCATCACCCTCTACCAAAACCAGACAAAGACACACAAGAAAACTATAGACCGGTATCTCTCATAAACAAAAAATTCAACAAAACAGCAAATCAAATTGAACAAAGTATAAAAAGGGTAGGATTAAGGAGTGGGGAGGTGATTTACCTCAGACATGCAAGGCTGGTTCATCAACTGAAAATAAATTAATGTGGCTCGGCACCTATAGCTCAACCGGCTAAGGCGCCAGCCACGTACACCTAAGGTGGCAGGTTCGAATCCCCAGCCCGGACCCGCCAAAACAACAATGATGGCTGCAACCAAAAAATAGCCAGGCGTTGTGGCAGGCGCCTGTGGTCCCAGCTACTTGGGAGGCGGAGGCAGGCGACTCGCTTGAGCCCAGGAGTTGGAGGTTGCTGTGAGCTGTAATGCCACGGCACTCTACCCAGGGGGACAGCTTGAGGCTCTGTCTCAAAAAAAATAATTAATTAATTAATTAATTAATGTAATCTATCACATCCATAAGTTGGAGGAAAAAAAACACTATATGATCATACGAATAAATGTAGAAAATGGGCCAGGAGTGGTGGCTCACGCCTGTAATCCTAGAGCTCTGGGAGGCCCAGGTGGGTGGATCACCTGAGCTTAGGAGAGCAACCTGAGCAAGATCTTGACTCTAAAAATAGCCAGTGTTGTGGCAAGTGCATATAGCCCCAGCTACTCAGGAGGCTGAAGCAAGAGGATGACTTGAGCCCAGGAGTTTGAGGTTGCTGTGAGCTATAATGGCATAGCATTCTACCAGGGTGACAAAGTGAGACTCTGTCTCAAAATAAACAAACAAAAGTAGAAAACCATCTGATAAAAGTCCAACATCCAAACATCAAAAAAAAAAAAAACCTACCAATAAACTAGGAATAGAAGGAACTTCTTCAATTCAATGAAGAATATGTTTAAAAAACTAAACTTATAGCTGACACCATGTTTAATGGTGAGAAATGCAGACTTTTCACTAAGATCAGGAATGAAGCAAAGACGTCCCCTCTCACCACTGCTTTCCGACACTGTACCAGAAGCAGCAGCTAACACAGTAAGAAGTGAAAGAAAGATATAAAACCTTATTCATGGAATGATCACCTATGCAGAAAATTCATAAGAATCAACAAAATACTTCTGAAACTAATAAGCAATCATAGCAAGGTTGAAAGATACAAAGTTAATACACAAGTCTATTGCTTTCCTATATTCCAGCAAAGAACAAGTAAAATTTAAAACATAAAACAATACCATTAACATTAGAATCCAACAAAACATGAATAAGGCCTGTATGAGGAAAACGCCAACTCAAAAGACATCAAAATGAATTAAATAAAGCAGTATTTCATGTTCATGGAAAAGAAGACTCAACATTGTCAAGATGTCAGTACCTCCCAAACAAAATCCTAATCAGTTATTTGGTGGATATCATCATGGATCAGGTACAGTGGCTCACGCCTATAATCCTAGCTCTCTGCAAGGCTGAGATGGGCGGACTGCTTGAGCTCAGGAGTTCAAGACCAGCCTGAGCAAGAGACCCCCTCTCTAAAAATAGCCTGGCACTGTGGTAGGCACCTGTAGTCCCAGCTACTCAGGAGGCTGAGGTAAAAGGATCACTTGAGCCTAGGAATTTGAGGAGCTGTGAGCTACAATGCCACAGCACTCTACCCAGGGTGACAAAGTGAGACTCTGTCTCCCCTCAAAATAAATAAATATGTTTTGGAGGCCAAGCAGGTGGCTCACACCTGTAATCCCAGCACTCTGGGAGGTCAAGGAGGGTGGACTGCCTGACCTCACCAGTTGAGGCCAGCCTGAGCCTGAGCCAGAGCGAGACCTCATCTCTAAAAACAGCTGGGTATCGTGGCAGGGGCCTATAGTCTCAGCTAATAGGGAGGCTGAGGCAAGAGAATTGCTTAAGCTCTCTTGAGGTTGCTGTGAGCTATGACACCATGGCACTCTACCAAGAATGACAAAGTAAGACTCCGTCATTCATTCATAAATAAATAAATGAAGTTTTCATGGAAGGCAGTAGACCCAGAATCCCAACAAAGGTGGAGGACTGACAGATTGTAAAGATTCTAAAGCTACAATAACCAGGATGGTGTGGAACTGGTGAAAGAACAAAGACATCGATGGAACAGCAGAGAGCCCAGAAATAGACCCGTGTAATCTACAGTCAACTGGTCTTGACAAAAGAGCAAAGAGAATGTAAAATGGCAAGGGTGGTCTTTTCGACAAATGGTGCTACAACAAATGAATACCCACTTACAGAAAATTTAACGTGCACACAGACCTTACAGCCTTCACACAAACTAACTCAAAATGAACCACAGGTCTAAACGTAAAACACAAAACTATAAAGGTAGATGATAATGGGAAATCCAGATGACCCAGGATTTGTCAATGACTTTTTAGGTACAGCATAAAGGCATAGTCCATGAAAGAATTAACAAATGGAACATCAAATTAAAAATTTCTACTCAGCAAAAAACACTGTCAAGAGAATAAGAGGGGCGGCGCCTGTGGCTCAGTGGGTAGAGCACCAGCCCCATATACCAAGGGAGGCAGGTTAGAACCTGGCCCTGGGCCAAACTGCAACAGAAAATAGCCAGGCATAATGGCGGGCACCTGTAGTCCCAGCTACTCGGGAGGCTGAGGCAAGAGAATCGCTAAGCCTAAACCAAGGAGTTGGAAGTTGCTGTGAGCTGTGACACCACTGCACCCTACCAAGGGCAATAAAGTGAGACTCTGTCTCTTAAAAAAAAAAAAAAGAGAGAGAATGAGAAGAGAAGCCACAGACTGTCAGAAAATATTTACAAAAGGCATATCTGGTAAAGAACTACTATCCAAAATATACAAGAACTTTATACTCCTCAATAAGAAAACAAACAACCCTATTAAAAAATGGACCCAAGAACTTCACTGAAGAAGGTTTACAAAAAGATACCCCACATCACACACCCCCAGGGAGATGCAAATTAAAATACGGAGAGGCCACTACATGCACCCAACAGCATGGCCAAAATCCAAAACACTGGCAGCACCAAATGCCGGTGCGGGAGGGAGTGACAGGAGCCTCATTTGCTGGTGGGAAGGCACAATGGTCAGCCACTGTGGAGGACAGTTTACCAACTGAGCACACTTCCCACGTAACCCAGCAATCACACACTCCTTAACTGTGCACCCAAAGGAGGTAAAACTGTCCACACAAAACCCTGCACATGGATATTTATAGCAGCATCACTTATAATTCAATCTAAACTCTTTACAAACTGAAAGCCAGAAAAGTTCTTCTTTTGCAAAGACTCAGAAGAGTTATTGTGACATAAAGAGTTTTTTGCTTGGTTCTAGAGAGACTTCTTTTTTTTTTTTTTTTTTGAGCTTTCGCCCTGGGTAGAGTGCGGTGAAATCACAGCTCACAGCAATTTCCAATTCCTGGGCTCAAGCAATTCTCCTGCCTCCATCTCCCAAGCAGGTGGGACTACAGGCACCTGCCACAACACCCGGCTATTTTTTGGTTGTAACCATTATTGTTTGGCCGGCCCGGGCTGGATTCGAAACCGTCAGCTCAGGTGTATTGGTTGGTGCCTTAGCCACTCAGCCACAGGCCCCAAGCCCTGGTAGCTTGATCTTTTTTTTTTTTTTTTTTTTGAGACAGAGCCTCAAGCTGTCCCCCTGGGTAGAGTGCCGTGGCATTACAGCTCACAGCAACTTCCAACTCCTAGGCTCAAGCGAGTCTCCTGCTTCCGCCTCCCAAGTAGCTGGGACCACAGGCACCAGCCACAACGCCTGGCTATTTTTTGGTTGCAGCCGTCATTGTTGTTTGGCGGGTCCGGGCTGGGGATTCGAACCCGCCACCTTAGGTGTACGTGGCTGGCGCCTTAGCCGGTTGAGCTATAGGCACCGAGCCGCTTAATCTTAATATACTGTTCAAGGTCCCAAAGTTTGAATGATCTACTTTTCAGTACTTTGAACAGAGCTCTTCTTGAAAACGACTTTTGTACATTTGACACTGAAGAATACTGATATGTTACCACATGGTTACCAGTGAATAAAAAAATAAAAGGAAGTCAAGGTATAGAAGTTGTATTTATAGATATGAACCTATAAATAATAACAAGCATGTGTACAATAAGTAACTTGGTACCGAAAGTAGTTTATGCTAATGAAATACTGTAAGTTACTGAACATGGTAATACCTCAACTGTTACCCAGTAAAGACTGACTGTAACTTTTTGAAGGTTTACATTACAAGGTACAAGTGAAACCCTATGACAAAGCTGATCCTGAAAGAATATTGCTAAGAATTCAGATGTCCAAAAGGGAACTGTAGCACACTGCGCAGTCTATGTCCAGAAAAATGTAATAACCTGACATGAATTTTCCAAAGAATTTAGTAGAAACATTCAAAATTGTATGTTTAACATCATAAATGATTAGCACCAGTTTAGTTCTGCATAGCACAATGACAATATGCAAATAATAAAACTGGAGAGAGAAAATTTCCAGAGGAATGAAGACGTGAATAAGGCTAAAAAACAAATTAAGTAGTAGTTTACATCCCAATCATCAAATGGGGATAAGGAACACAGTTCTGATAGAAAGGAAAAGAGCCCTGTATGCACTGTGCATACAGGACAAACACTTCAACTAAACCTGAAGGTAAGAAACCCCCTTCCTTGGCTTTATAAGAAATGGGCTTAAAAGTCACATCTTTCTTGGCTCGGCGCTCATAGTTCAAGGGTTATGGCACCGGCCACAAACACCAAGGCTGGTGGTTCTGAGCCACGCATGGGCCTGCAAAACAACAATGACAACTTCAACAACAACAACAAAATGCCGGGTGTTGTGGCAGCACCTGTAGTCCCAGCTACTTGGGAAGCTGATACAAGAGAATCCCTTGGCTTGACGCCTATAGCTCAACTGGCTAAGGCGCCAGCCACATACAGCTAAGGT